TAGGTATGGCTTCGAACATGGGATTTGTAACCATTCTTATGCCAATTTCTTGTACTTGACCAGATCCACCAACTTGTGTGGCTTCATTATTAAGTACTGAGGCATTTTGGCCTGCTATAGGCCTCGAAATGGGTTCATACCAAGACTGAGGTGATGGTCTTTCATAGTTCTGATTACTAGTTTGACCATTAGAATGTGCATTAACTTGCATAGGCTGTTTGTCTCTAGGCAATCTTTGCCGAGGGACATTTAAAACTTCCTCTGTGTGTCTTATGTTTGTTGGTTGGTGGTTATTCATTCGATCCAAAAAGGATGTTGCCCACCTTTCCATTGTGTTCATTAATTGTTGTCCCATAGCATCTACTAGGCCATCCCATGGATTTGTTGGCTAAGTAGATGGAACAGTGGATGGTCCAATTCCTTGGTTTCGTCCAATATTACGAACATATGGTTCTTGTCCCGAAGTACTGGTCTGTTCGACCATAGGTTCTGATAACATGGGAGTTTTTACAGGATGTGTTACCACATTATCCTCTGCATTAGGTATTTCTACCTTTCCTTCTACGCCTTCTTCCAAGCATTCATTTTCTCCTTGTCTTCTTCATCTAGCTATTTCAATTAGTCCCATCAGGCGTGCCAAAAATATATGTTGGCTTTTTGGCTTTCGAAGGGTATTTTTGTAAATGCGAGCATGCCAGCAAGGATCAATCAGTCCTTACAGAAATTATAATTGCCAACCAATTATCAGACGATTGTGTTTTAGTTCTTTCAGCCTCAATGAAGAGGACTTTTACTGGTGGCTTGACTTAGGAGAAATTAAGCAAAATAACAGTTAAATGATGAACAATTGAAGTATTTCATTAAGATGAAAACTTACAATGATCCAAACTCAGCCTCGTAGAGGTTTACAGCAACAATCTACTTGAAACTACTCCTATGAACGAAGTGCAGTGCAGGAATTTAAAGTGCAGGAATGTAAAGAACAGGTATTTAAAGTGCAGGAAATGTAAAGACTGGAAATGTAAAACTGGAAAAGAAAATATGAAGTAAATGACTGGTTTGCTGGATCTGAGTCTGGGGGTTTTTTCTGGGGGGCTTCTCTGCTATTTATACTCCTCAAGGATGACCATCGAACTGCACTTCAAACCGTCGAACTGTTCCTCCATGATTGCTTGATCATGCTGCCTTAGAAGTAGTTCCACTGCGCCATTACTTGCAGTTGGGCTTCCCTCCTATATTTGAATTTGAATGTTAGTAACCGTTGAAGCCACGTCACTTTGCACCTCTTTATTGATTTAGTGCTGCTCAGATCACGTGAGAACCAATACTAACTGCCACGTGTACGATCAGGATCGAAGACTTAAATGGTCTTCCTATATTACCCTTATTCTGCCACGTGTCGAATTGTGATTGGCTTTTACAAAATATGTAGCCAACAAGGACTAATCTGTTATCTTCCCAAACAAGTAAACACATAAGTATTCGTAGAAGAGCTGAAGTTGGTCGTTTATTGATGATAAATTAATAGTGCTTCAGATACAAAAAGTGTGAAATTTCTCATGGGAGTGATGTCTTTTACTCGACCCTACCCGCCACCTTGTCCAAAAAAAAAAGGTCCTTAGGACGAAAGGGAAGGAAGTGTGAATATAAAAATCCATGAAACAAAAGGCCACCACCATATGTAATGTTAACATTCTCTCTAATCTCAAATTAATCACTATGTATTCTGATTTCATGTTTGTAGAAAGGCAACACCAAATTAAGATTGCCAAATAAATAATTGACAAGAATAAAAATCCCTTTATTATTGTGAAGTCGTGCTATAACATCCAATACGCAAATAATGTTTTGTCCAAAGCTACACATTGTACTAAATTTGGTGGCAACAAAAAAACAAGGTTAGTCTTTGAGAGCTTTAATTCCGTTAAGAAAACTGTTTTCAGCACAATCCATTTTACCCCACGTGGCATGGCCCAGAGCAGTTTATCTCATGTCCTTTAAAAATAGCCAAATACTATCCACGTGATTTTGAGACTAAAAAGTGCTACCATTACCTTTTCTGTCTATTTAGATAGATATTGTGAAACGCGCACTTGTTAAGAGAATAGCATTAAAAAAATTTAATGAAGTCAAATTTAATCGTTGTGTTCATCTTCCCCTGCCATGTCCTTCCTCCTCCCTCACCTCCCTCACCATTCCTCCTTTGATTTGCTTTCTTACCTCCCATTTTTTTTCCAAAAGGTCCACACCATGAAGACCCTTTTCCCAAGACTTCTAGTCCAAGCTTCTCCTTTATAATAGCCTCCATTTCCACCCCCAGTCAACGTACGGTTGCTTCTTAGATTCATTCAATAGAGAAATCATTTGCCCTTACAGTTCTTATGCAACATTTTTTCCAACTATAATGATTGGCACTGTAATTTTGATGATGCCTTTGTGGACAAGGTACCCATTTCAAATTAATGGTTTCTCTTATTTTGGTTTTGCATGTAACTCTCTATTTGCCAAGCATAATTTGTATATAACGTGTATTGCCTATTGGGTTTCCCTAGTCATTCCGCACATACCAATTGGATATATGTATATGTATACCAGTGTATATATGTTTGCTACAATTTGCATATATAAGTTATGTGTATCTAAGAAGTATGAATACTTCTACGAAGGTAATGTGTCATGTTCGATACCGACACGGCACTCGTCCGACACTTCCTAATACTTGGGCACATGAAACACATCATATTGAAAAACTGTCTTACAACTGCTGGTATAATATTAAAAAATGTCATATAATAAAAATGTCCTACATTTTTTAAAATTGACCTGTCCGCATGTCTATGTCCATGCCCGTATCCGTGCTTCATAGTTGGAAACTAAAGTTAGAAGTGTAAATAAGGACATGGCCTTTGAATTTATTAATAGAAGCTGAAAAAGGTGTCCAATTACAATGATCCACTTTGGAAAGAATATGGATCCTATGGGATCAACATATGCTGAATGTAATGTTCATTAGCATAAATGACCAGCACCCATGGCAGGTCTGTGGGGCTCTATTAAATGCACTACAGGAAATATAGAATTTAACGGCGTTTATTTAGCAACATTTTTTTAAACGCCACTGTTTCTAACCTTTAACGACGTTTTATAAATGTTGCATTTTATTTTGATTAAAACAGTACCGTTTAAGTAATAGAAGTCGCTTTTTAAACACCTTCATGTGTGTTCAAAATAATGTTATTCCTCCCTCTCTTAGCTCTATAAGAATCAAAACCCTTCTCAATCTCTCTCTCTTCAGGCCCTCATTTTGAGTCTGGGAAACTTTAGTCTCAGAGAAACCAATCCCTCAAATCTCTCACTCACTCACTCACTCGATTGCTCTCTCTCTCTCTCTCTCTCTCTCTCTCTCTCTCTCTCTCTAAACCCTTCAGTCTCAGAGATTAAGATTCAACCTTTTTCAGCTTGGTTTCATCTCAGATCCAATCTCAAAGTGATTTCGATTTCGAAGCTCTCTCTCTCTCTCTCTCTCTCGATTTCGAAGCTCCACTGCCACCACCATCACCACCGTTGACTAAGGTGAACACCACCGTTTACAATCTCAATTTCGTATTCTCTCTCTCAAGCTTTTCCTTCCATTGATTCTTCTCCTAGGGTTTACATAAGTTTAACATTTCAGATCTGGGGCATTTTGTTATGAGGTTAACATGTAATACTTATGTCTTGGAATTCTAATGAATGAAAGGAATGCGGTTAGTTTAAATGTAAATGCATGTCTTATCTGATGGGTTTATTGTTATTATTTTGAGGGCGTTACATTTGTGATTTGAGATTTCTTATTCAAAAACATATGTTTCAGATTTGAGATTTCTCATTCAAAAATATGTTTGAGATTTGAAATTTCTTATTCAAAAACACATGTTTCAGATCTTAGATTTCTCATTCAAAAATATATGTTTATGATTTGAAAATTCTCATTCAAAATATTTGTTTGAGATTTGAAATTTCTCATATGAAAATATATAGTCTTTACTCATTAAAAATTTTCATTTGAAACAATATTTTTTTAGATATGAGATTTTCATTCTAAAATACATGTTTCCTCATAAATCCCTGTGGTCCTTGTAGTGCAAAATTAACAGAAACCCTTAATTCAAAAATAAGAGTGTGTGAAGCTCATGCATTATTTAGGCATGTGGTGTTGTGCTGGAACTAATTTAGGGGGGCAAAATTGCTTAATGCTCTTTTCCAATATATATTTTTTTTCATTTTTCATCTTCTTCTCATCTGTGTTTCACTCCAACCACCACCTCACCACTGTGCAGCCATCTCTGTGCACTCTATCTCTCTCTAGGTGGCTATGTGTGTGGTATGAGACAAGAGGCAAGTGGTATCATTGGAGATCTCTGGTATCATTTTTTAATGATTTGGTTTGTTTTGGTGTACTTCGGAGATCTGTGGTATCATGTTTTAATGATTTGGTTGTTTCTATTTCAGCTTCCACTTTCTCTTCTCAAGACTGCACAGGGGCATCCTATGGTGAGAGTCCTATCTTTCGAGAGCATTTTTGTACTTATGTAGTCTTTGTTTGGTTGCTGAGAAAATGTAGATGTAAAGAAACTATTGCTCTGCTTTGTTAGAAGGAAATATAAGAAAGGAAATTTATTAAAATATGATGTTAGGTTTCTCAAGGATTTGGCTCCCAAATAGACAAGAATCTAGCACCCAACAAGTTTTGGCTGATTTGAAATTATTTTATTATTATTTTTTAAATCATGGAGTTTTTTTGATTGTAGAAACAAAAAGAACATGAATTGTACGAGTTAAGAGTTGAAATTTAATTTATTATTTTCCTAGGAATTTCCAGTAATCGCATGGAGGGTTAGGTTTTTGAGAGTTTAAGTTTGTTAGACTTGTTAGTAAGTGGTGGAGCTTAAAGAAGCGAAGCAAACTTACAGTAACAGCATATTATATTTTTTTAAGCCCCCTAATTAATGCTATAATTTTGACAGTTGGTGGAACTTAAAAATGGGGAAACATACAATGGGCATTTGGTGAATTGTGATACTTGGATGAATATCCATCTTCGTGAAGTCATATGTACCTCAAAAGTATTTTATATTTTTTGATCAATTTTGTCCCTTTGCTTAGAACTCTGATATTTATGAGTTTTTGTTGAACCTAAAACTGAAAATTCAATGCAGGATAGAGATAGGTTTTGGAGAATGCCAGAATGCTACATTCGGGGGAATACAATCAAGTATCTTTGAGTTCCAGATGAGGTTTGTTAAATTTTGAACATTTTTTAATATCTGAAGTTCTGAGCTACATTCCTATTTTATCTACTTCAGATCGTCTTCCTTTGGTGCCTATTTGTCTTTCTACATTGATCACGTAGCAAGTCTTTAAATATCAACTTAACAACTCAATTCAACTTAACAAAACTCTAGTCCCAATCCAATTATGAGTGGTAACCATGAATTACCTTTAGTTTGTTTGACTCATCTATTATTGTTTGCTTGGGGATTTGGTCCTGAATTACAATTTACAGCCAAAACCAGTCAAACTCAAATCATTGATTTGCTTAATCAAACTCTTGAGTGGTGAGAATTAGTCGCTTTTGAGTTATTTTATTTTATTTATTTAGTTTTGACTTTTTAAATTTTTTGGTGGTCATGGTTGGGTATAGCATTTATGACATGTTTAGAGATGCTGTTGTTGCAGAAGCAGTGAGAATAGGGCGCATTTTGGGCATTGTTTTAAAATTTTTCAAATGATTCATTAATATGCCACCTCCATGTGATTTTCTTCTCAAATGGCCAGTTTGGAGAACTTGTAATTTTGCATATTCTGTAATTTTTTGCTTGATGGTGTTATTAGATGTTCTTTATGTATCCTTAGTGTCTGATTTGAATGCTTTAGGTTCAAATCCTTATTTGCATTTTATACATTTTCAAAAATATGTACGTAAGTTGATTCTAGTGTTATTTTTCCATTGGTTTTCTCTCTTAGTAAATGCTTGATTACGTTTCTTATTTGTTGTAAAATAAATAAATAAAGCCTTTACTATCACTTTATCAGTGAACTGGGGAGGTTTCTTTCATGTCATTTCTTGAAGTGGTTACTTTGAAGATTGTTTTTGTCATAGCCAAACATTCCTTTTTGTCAGGGTGGAATATCTTTCTGAAGCAGCCCCTTCTAAGTTTCTGTTCTTAATTTCACAGAATGGTTGTGGCATTTGCTATTTATTGGTATTTTCTACAAATGATATAGGCACAGTTTTATTTAATGGAAAAAGAACAATGATGTCAAGCCTTATACTGCAAATTTAACTATTTTGAAATTTTAGTTTGATGTAAAAGCTCCTTACCCTCATTCTTTATTTTTTGAGTATAATTGTATGCATTGTTGTTTGTCCTTATATAACATGAACATATATAATTTTATTTTACCATTCTCTTTCCTTATTTTGGCCTTTTTCATATCAAAGCTATCTCAGTTATAGATTTTGTGTTCAAATTTTTTCGAACTTCATATATGTTGTTAAAAGTTTTATATCTCAAAATTCAGCAGAAAATACCACATGTTTTTTTTCCCATTGTTGTTGTTTGTTGTTATTAGGTTTTTTCATTTTTCAGTTTATCAATAGTTAACACATTTTGCTATATTTTTTCACTTTAATTTCTCAATTTATTATTCTTTTTTTTTCCGGGCAATACTCTAGACATTTCGGTGAGTCTTTGGCGATATTCTTGACGTTCAATGAACATTCTAGACATTCCGACGATTTCCGGTGATGTTCAGAACATTCCGACGAATTCTGGTGATATTCTGGCGACTTCTCGGTGATGTTGAACATTTTGGTGAGTCTCCAATGACTGTCTGACAGAAGTCCGACGGTGGTGAGATGTAACAGCGTCTTTAAATTTTTTTTAAAAAAATAAGATTTTTTTTGTAACAATTGAAAATCAACAATGATTGAGCCCTCTTTTTTTGGAGACCCCCACAATTCCCTTTGGATCTCAACCATTGATGGTGTAGGCCAACACATACTTGAATGGACCCCACACATACATCAATGATTGAGATCTAAAGGGGGTTGTGGGGGTCTCCAAAAAAAGGAAGTCCCAAGCATTTTTGATTAAAAATATATAGGACTGATTGATGCAAGTGTTTTGTTTTGGAATTAGATGGATTTTGAATTTTATGTATGAGACTTATCAGAAAGTTTTTTTTTTTTTTTTTTTTTTGAGATTTTTATTGATAAATCCCATTTAGAAATGTTCTAACCCAAGAAGTCCATGAAAGAATTTTTTAACCCACTTAGTTCCATGTATTTATATTTCTATTCCATAAAGTCATTTTTCTTGATTTACATTATTTTCTTAGACTCATATGCCCTTATATTTAATATTGATATTTAATGTTGATATTTAATGTGGAGAGAGAAGGGAAAGGACGAAAACATAAGAAAGTTCATACACAAATTAAATAATATGTTATTATTTTATATTATTATATAATGTGAATATATTTTTAATTGACGACACATTAAAAATAATGTGAACATTCTCTCTCATTTGATGTGAATATATTTTTGGTTGACAGCACATTAAAAATAATGTGAACATTCTTTCTCATCTGATGTGAACGTTCACAACACCTTTCTGAAAAATTTTCTCTCATCTAATGCAGTGATGTGAACATTCACAATATGCGAACCTTCTTATTTTTAATTGACAACACATTAAAAATAATGTAAACATTTTTTCTCATCTAATGTGAATGTTCACAACATCTTTTCAAAAAGTTCTCTCTCATCTAATGTAGTGATGTGAATGTTCACAACATTTTATATTTTTAATTGACAATACATTCTTATTCACAACATGTATTGATCTGAACGTTCACATTCGTATGTTTTAGTATGAATATTCACATCATGTAATTGATAACACAATGACAAAAATTCATTTCAAATTAATGTGAATATAATGATGCGAATATTCATTTCAATTACATGATGTGAATATTCACATCATATAATTGACAACACAATGACAAAAATTCATTTCAAATTAATATGAATATAACGACAGTCAACATCTTGATGTATGGGAACTACCAAAACATACTAACAATCAACATCAAATATCAACATTAAGAGGGGGCATGAGAGATTGGGTGTGTTTTTATCTTCTTATCTCAAATAGGATCTAATGGAATAATCAAAAAGAATATAAGTTGGATGGAATAAAATTCTTAGAAAGAGGACTTATAAAAAAAGCTCCCTTTTTTTTTTCAATGTTTTAATATTTTAGTCTTGTCTTTTAAGAATAAAACAATAAATATATTTAAAAATTTAAAAATTATATCATATTTCTATAGAGGGTTTATTTGTCGTGAATTTTCAATGTAATTAATAATGAAATACAATTCTTGATTCTATCAATAAAATCCAATTTGATCCGTTGTACAAATCAAATGTTCAGGAAAAATGCTAAATGTAACGCCCCCAAAATAGGACATAACTCATTTAACCATGAAATCCATAATCATAAACGAAACATTATATTTCATTCATCAGAGTGTTCTATACAAAAGGTGATACATGTTAACCAACAAAATAGATGCCCTGTGGGCTTACAACTTTCCAAGTGAACACTTGGTTATAATAAAAGAAGAGTTCTAACTCTTTATATATAAAGCCCTTGGCTTGAATTTACATTTAATATCAAAACAAGATAACAAAAGAGAGTCTTCAACTACAAAACCTTCCAAGCTAAGACCTTGGAGGCGACATGTCACCTGAACCTAAAAATGGTGTCCCAAGTAGGATGAGCCAAGGCCCAGTAGAGATATGCCAAACCAGATATGAGAGTTAACTAAAACATTATCATTTGATAAATGTTTAACACTAGTAAACCATATACATCATCTTTGTAACATATCAACGTTTACACCATATACAATTCCCTTTCCATTGTTTATCCAAATCAATTCATTGACATGGTCCAATGTTATTCAAACAGTTTAAACAAAATGAGGCTGCAACTCATATATCAACACTTCAATAACAAACATCATTCAACACTTCTATTTTCTTGCCATTTTACAGAACTACGTCCGAGGGAACCGGCATCCAAATATATAAAAGGTTTCGAGACTTGCACCCTGGACACTCCGACCAACTTAGTTATCAATGGAGTCCATCCCCTATCTCCTCCCAAACAATGGAGTACATCTCCTATCTCCTCCCATACAATATACATATACAATGTATTTAAACATGTAGTCATATACAATGAACCATCAATTCACATATTCAATGCGTTAATCCAGCCGTCACATTCAATGACATAAACCAATTGATTAGTTTCAATTTACCTAATCAACATGCAGTTTCTACAACAATCATGGCTATCCTCCATCAATAGCCCAAAACAGTTATTTCTAAACAAATAATACATCTATCAAATAGATAATTTATTACATTTTCCATCGGTGAGTGATTTATCAATCCAACTACACCATTCAATCACAATTTCTGTAACGCCCTCAAAATAAAAGCATAAATGAATCATTCATATTAACCATAAGCATAAGAGAATAAAATATTCCTTCATCAGAGTATTTTCTACAAAAGGTATTACATGTTGACAATAAAAGTAAATGCCCTATGGGCTTACAACTTTCCAAGTCAACACTTGGTTACAACAAAAGAGGGTCAAAAGCCCTTTACAATTAAAGCCCTCAGCTTGGAAGTAAAACATGTAACACTAAACAAATTGCAACAAAAGAAGCCTGCTGCCTCTAAACCACCCAAGCTAGGTCCTTGGAGGTAGCATGTCTCATGTACCTGAAAATGGTGTCCCATATAGGGTGAGCCAAAGCCCAGTAGAGATATACTAAACAGAATATGAGAATTAACTAAAACATTAGCATCTGATAAATGTTTACCACTTAATAAACCATAAACATCATCTTCGTAACAAATCAACGTTACATTACATACATTTCCCTCTTCTTTATGTATCCCAATCAATTCATTGACATAGTCCAATGTTATCCAAACAGTTTAAACAAAATGAGACTACAACTCATAGATCAACACTTCAATAGCAAACATCATTCAACACTTCTATTCATATGCCATTTTACAGAACTATGTCCGAGGAAACTGGCACCCAAATATAAAAGATTTCAGGACTTGCACCTTGGACACTCCGGCCAACTTAATTATCCATGGAGTCCATCCCCTATCTCCTCCCAAACAACATACATATTCAATGTATTTAAACACATAGTCATATACAATGAACCAACAATTCATATATTCAATGTGTTAATTCCACCGTCACATTCAATGACATAACCGAAATGATTAGTTTCAATTTCCCTAATCATCATGCAGTGTCTACAACAATCAAGACTATCTTCCACCAATAGCCCAAATAGTTATTTCCAAACAGATAAATAAATCTATCATACAGATAATTTATTACATTTTCCATCAGTGAGTGATTCGTCGATCCAACTACACCGTTCAATCACAATTTTCCCCAATTTCAGGGTTTTCAACCCAATTTCATATTTTCACAACTTACCAAATTAATTATACAAATTAATTATTTAAACTCAATTAGGGCATTTTCTCCCTTCTCTCAAACCTCAACCCTAAGGCTCAATTTCATCAATTTACACCAATAACCCCATTGTCCAAGGTCCCACTTACACATAGAGCTCAACAATAAAA